TCCTTTCAATACACGCAACATTATAATTCTTGAAACTTTCTCCAACGTTTTCTGTTGTTTTTTTTTAATAATATTTTTTGATCAAGTAGTAATTCTGCTTCAAGTCAGAGTGTCTTTGGACATGTATGCCCTTTGGCTACAGACATTTGTTATTTCTGTGTGGAGTCATGCTTCTCTGGGCTAATCTTGGTTCAGATTCCTCAGGCTTCACAGTTTCTCCTTGAAGCAGTCAAAGAAACTGGGCCTTCTCTAACATGGGTCTACGACAATTCGCCACAGCTAACTTGTTGCGGCCAACTTACTGTAGCCAACTCACCATGGAACAATTCACCATGGCCAACTTGCCACAGGACAAAATTGAAGAAATAGTGGAATAGAATCATCTTTCAAAGCTCTTGGACGAAAGACAATGTATTAAGCTAACAAATCATAGATTTTCCTGCAATGTTTATGAGTAGAATAGTGACATCCTAGTGCATTCAACATCTGTCCAACAAATGTTGGAAATGTAACCAAATACCGGGCACATATTATCACATGTGGTGGACATGTCCAAAAGCAAAAACATTTTGGATGAAAGTGCATATGTAGTTAGAAAAAAAAATGTTAAGCCACCATATAAATTATAAGTCAGAACTATTTTTATTAGGCATAATACCAGAAAAATATGACAAATATATATGACAAATATATATATATATATATGACAAATATATTTAATATTACACATTTTGACAGCAGCAAGAATTGTATTTGCACAATAAAATGAGGAAACACCTACAGAAGAAGATATAATTAAAAAAATATTAGACTGTGCAGAAATGGATAGACTAACACTGAAGATAAAAGTATTATTGTATGTAAAGAGAAAATACGTATATAAATAAATTGGGGGAAAACTATCTGTCTTGGGTTCCTTCATGAACTTAATCACTCCATTATATTTTTCTTACTCAGAAAAAGTATTTTCCCCCAAAGCTGCAGGTTGCCTTCTCTAGTTTATAGAGGTGGGACAGTTCATTTTAATTCCCAGCAATTGTACCTAAAGCTAAGTGAACAGAAATAAAAGGTTAAACACATCCGGAATGTACCAGTCTATAAAATATCCATTATGTTGCAACATTATAAAGGCTGGTTCAGTTGGAAGTTCTGTTTAGAATAGATGGAACAATAAACATAACACCCAGGTGTGCAAATTTGGCTTGAAGGTGGAGTCTTTATTTCATGCTTCTTTGGATGACAAACAAAGTCAATAATACACACACACACACACACACGCACACACACACACACACACACACACACACACACACAAGATGATTCCCAATAAAGAGCTAATAGAGAGAAAAAAGTAAAGCCTTTTCAATTCTTAGTGACTCCACGGACACATTGATATATCTTTTATAGAAACAGAACAGAATAATTTTTACCAAGAAGTACTTTTCAGTTGAGATTATCTCCAGGGGTTTCTGGTGATTTGCTATCCAGTGTGGTTTGTTAGATTTTTTGAGATCATGCATGTGGGTGTTGGTGTACTGTACACATGTACATATTTACTTCTGGCAAAGTGTGAATGGATCGGGAGCCATTCCCAAACATTGACACAAAAGTGACGCCAGAAAACATGATTAGCTAAATTAAACTCACTAAAAGCGGCTACCATATAAGAGAGGATGGGCTGTAATTAAATTCTCATTTAACTTTGTGTGTTTGCAAAAGACTGCAAACCAGACAAAATTTGTAGTAATTTTTGAAAGTAGATGACTTGGTCTCCCCTACCACCAGGCCACCGAGAAGCAAATCCTTCTTATCTTGGCGTTTCATTTTTACAAATATGTTAGATTTGGTTTATTCAATTTGAAGATTTTTGTTGTTGTTGTTGTTGTTGTTGTTGTTGTTGCTGTTTCCACTTTTAAAAAACGAGCTTTAGGCCATTCAGACTAGTTTTGTGTATGTGTGTGTGTGTATTTATATTTATATATGAATTTTGTTAATTTGTAATATTGTTTACAGCATCTTAAGATTTTTTTAATCGGATGGCTTTAATTAATGTTAAGTTTTGTTTGTGAGAGTTAATATGATTGGGCTTAGGCAGTAATAAAGATGAGTTTGACCTTGTAAAAGTTATATTTTAAATATTGTTCTCTAAATCATGCAGTAATCATCTCTCTCTCTCTCTCTCTCTCTCTCTCTCTCTCTCTCTCTCTCT